ACTACTACTACTTAAATAGTTACTACTCTATTACTACTACTTAAATAGTTACTACTCTACTACTACTACTTAAATAGTTACTACTCTACTACTACTTAAATAGTTACTACTCTACTACTACTACTTAAATAGTTACTACTCTACTACTACTACTACTTAAATAGTTACTACTCTACTACTACTTAAATAGTTACTACTCTACTACTACTACTTAAATAGTTACTACTCTACTACTACTTAAATAGTTACTACTCTACTACTACTACTTAAATAGTTACTACTCTACTACTACTACTACTTAAATAGTTACTACTCCACTACTACCAGCACTGCTACTGCTACTAAAAAATTAAATAAAAAACCAAAACAACATAAATGTCATATATATAAAAACTGGACAAATACAAGCTGAATGTGCTAATGGTATGAAACAAGGGCACAACTACTGAAAGAAATCAGGAAGACAATTCCTACCACCACCACCTGTCGAATACACATAAAAGTACCATTGTGTTCATTGTTTAATTCTATCCTGTATCAAACTAAAAATAAATTATATGAAATAGTGAAAAATATTTTAATAAAATTGAAACTGCCTTTTATTTAATACACATATAATACATACATTTAAACTTCCTGCTAAATATACAAACTCAGTTTATCAAAATTTTAATCCAGGCTGTTGTTTCTGTAACTTCTTAAACAGGCGTATATGCAGTAGACCTATGTGGTCTTACAACTACAAGTAGGTTTTGTGCAAAAAATATTTCACTTTTAGCTGCAGAATATTTAAATTGATACTGATAACCTGAGATCATTCTAATGTTTTCCTGGGGGGGGGGGGGTATGTCTTTTGTCTACGATTTAAATATTTTTTGCCATGTATGCTAACCTAATACGTCCAGACATAAACACTTTCAACGAAATATTTTAATAGGTGTATTTTGCCTTGACATCTCTATCACTGTGTGACAGTCAACCAATCACGCGCGTCCTTACAAATGAATTTTATCAAGTACGGTAATCTACCTTGTTATACTTATTACGAAGTTTACTTCTTGAGTCAGAGATAGCTGTAATTAACGGGTGTTAACAATGCATGTACATGTATTAATTTACGTTATTAAGCAGGGGGATGCAATACAAGAAAGGCGATGTGCGACCTCCTTGGGAGGTGCATTTGCACCCACTCTGAGGACGAGCCTGTCATCGAGCAACTACAACCACAGATGAATAGGGACACTGGATGGCGCCTGTAATTATAATTATTTTATTTTTCATCTTAACTTTTATTATTTCAATCTGTAGCTTAGATAGAACATTTGTTTACTACAGGTAGCAGAGATGCAGGCTATAGATTTAAATAGAATTTAATGTTTAAACCAATTGAAGCTTTTAATAGCATCATTTTGAGTTTAATTACTGATTATAAGCATTATTTTATTGCTAGTTACAGCTTTTACCGTATGGAAGAAAAATTTTAAAACAGGTATGACATTTCGATCACTAGTGTGGTCATTCTCAAGTACACGAGTAATAACGGTAAAGATGGTTTCAGTGTTAAATCAACAATCTACAATAGAAGCTTTGTGCTGTAAGTTACAGTTTGCGTTTTAGTGAAACGCTCCTGAAGAAGTAAAGCGAAAAGTTGAATGCCCAATTAAAGAAAAACAAATTTAGTGTTATAAGGTCGTTTATTAACAGTATTAAAATGTGTTTTATACACCAACATGCATTATAGAAATTAATTAATGAATTTAAGTATATGTTTGAAATGGTAAAAGATCAAAGGCGGAGTATAAATTTATATACGAAGTCGAAGAATATTGTGAAACTTGCGGCCAGTGTTATTAAAATGTGATAAGTAAAGCACATGAAGTTGAATATATTCATATATTCGAACATTTTGCTGTCTGAAAATAAATTGTTATACATATCATTTAAAGAAACAGTTGTATAAGCACATAAAATGTTTTAAGCTATTCAAATATAACGATTATGAACAGAATAAACAGTGCTACTATAGAATGTGATTTACAAAGATATTTACACTATAGCGTGCGTTCTACACAGATACTATCATCATCACCGTTTTAACTTTCGTTTACTTGCAATTGGCGCCATCTATTATAAGTAACGCTTTTAAACTGTACAAAATACCATTACTTAACGTTTTGGGGGCAAAAATAATCGGAATGAAATAAATTCCAACAATCAAAACTAGCACAATTATAATTTAAAGTACTCTTTTGGAACACACAACTTATTAAATGATTATTATTTGGTGAACAAAAACGTGGATATCTATTGAATATTTAACAAGAAATTATGTGTTAGTGAATTATTAAAACGATGATGATGATGATTGTATCTGTGTAGACCGCACGCTATAGTAGAATCCAATAAAATGTCCTGATCATAATATATTTATGTACATACAGTTTAAATAAAGATTGGGGGCCCTTAAACTTTGAAACTTTGATCAATGTTTTTTTGTTGAATCTCTCACGATGTTAAAAGAGGGCATATCTGTACTAGCCTAAACTCTGAAGCAAAAAAAAATATTATAATTACACATAAAATTTGTTAGTTTATGAAGAGTTAAAAATACAATTCAAGACTTGCTAATTAACTTAAAAAACAACAACAACAAGAAACATGATTCCGGATGTTAAAAATATGTTTGGGAACTTGCAAAGAATTAAATTAATTATTCATAGATGAGAAAAGCAAAACAAAACAGTAAAAGCTAAACGACAATGTGATTTTATTTCAGTTTTAAATCGGTAGCGAGTCAGCTGTAAGTTTACGGATTTAAAACATTAAATCCTTGTCGGATAGATTGCTGATAGCCCATTGTGTAGCTTTGCGCTAAAATAAACAAACGGCAATATGTTTTTCTATTTACCACTTGTCACTGAGAATTCTACTCCTCTTCAGTAACTCTGGATTTGGCATCATATTTATTTTTTAGTATTTTAAACAGTCTGTCTAGATCAAAAACTCACAAGAATAAATTAGTAGCATCAATGCAATATATTTTTCAATTTCCTATATATTTGTAGGATTGCTATGTGAATAAATATTTCAATAACTATAGTAAAATTTAATTTTAATATTACAATTATTTCAAAACTTTAATATTTTTAATGTCTATAGCAAAGACGATTTATGTAATAAAATGAAGTTGTTTTATTAATAAAAAATAATAATTTCGAAAATATAAAACAAAATATTATGTTTGTAAATTATTTTCATAAATTTTTAATTTATGGAATGATCCCCATAAAGTCCTCAGCGTCGTTCAGGCCGCACCCAATCAATAAAATTTGACCATATTTGGAATTTGTGAGGATTGTAGATATAAGTTCGAAAGTTAGGGTGGAAGAAAGAAGAAATATGGTAAGTACAAATAAAAATATGTATTTGATGTTTTTTAATTTTGCTCTTTAGCCTTTTTAAATCTTTCCATGAATCAAGACTAAGACTATGCGCCATTGCAAGGTATATTATAATCAAACATTTATCTATATTGAACAACGAATTAAACCTAACGTTTGAACTAAATGTTCGAGCAGTGATTTTTGAACGTGACTGCAGGAACAGAATTTTTTATTGTGTTTCTGTTTTATCAATTTGATATTTATTTGTTTGCTTATTGTTACAGAGCTTGAACTTTAAATGAGCCTACCAGGGCATAGGCATAATATAATGTGAGGTGTTAAGTCAACTCACTTAATTAGCGCTAGAGTTACGAAAATGTATTACTAGTACATACTCAGTATTACTATTAGTAGATGAAACAGTTATATATCAAAGGTGTACCGTACAGTATATTAACATTAACAACAATAATATTTTAGTTGCAGTTTTGTTTTACATTTCATAATACGTAATCATTTAATGACAATTTGACATTAGTGAATAATCAACTATAAAAGCTTCAAAAAATAACAAAGAAATTGCAGTTGCACATACAAGAAGTTTAACTATTTTTTCACAAAAATCCTTGGATTTTTAATTATGTGAGACTTCTCCCTTTCTCTTTCCTCAAAAGGGTAATCCTTAAAATTATTTTAAATTTTAATCTTGTATCTTCCCGCTTGACTTCTTTTTTAATTTTCAACTTCATTGACAGCTTTAGAGTGTGTGTTCTGAAACTACTCTTGTATTATTGCTTTAAAGTTATTTTCAATATCATTAACGCTTTTGGTTAGAATGTCTAAAATATCTAGGTTTATTATTTTCATTTTTTTATTATTTTTATTAGATTGTTAGCATTGTACAAGGATTTAAGACTAACTTAACCTCCTAAACTGGTCAAACATTATATTGAGTTTATACTTGTACTGTTATAGCCTAAAATATTATTAGCAGTGATGGAATCTAACTGATGAAACAAAGCATCTTAATCTTTATAAATAAGAATATATGAAGGCTATATTTCAATAGCTATACTCATTATCAGGTTGATTTTAACTTAACATATTTTGGTCCATCTCTGTTTGCTTTCATTACTTATTTTGCTCTTACCAGAAGTTAATATTAATTTTGTATGTAGGCAGTTGGCAGCTGTCCTGGTAATAGTAAATTGTGAGAGTTGGATAAATATTTAATGAAATAACAGTACAATGATATAACTTGGAAAAAAATCTTTTAAGTTCAGTGGGGTTACCAGTCAGCTTCCCGAAACATCTTCCCACATGACCAAAATTTTCTTGTTTGTAATTTCAACAAATTCAAATGGTCTGTCAGATAAAGTGTAGCAGATATTATTCTATGATTCTCTTTTTGGAAATGTTTGGGATTTAGTAAGACTTATCATATTTTGCTGAAAAACGAAGCTATAGTTTCGAGTAGTACTGGTCAATTAATGTTATAGTGTTTTTTTTTCTTTTTCAGGCAGGTTTTACTGAAGACCAAATTGCAGGTATGTATGCATAGTTAAGTACAAAAAAAGGTTAATAAAACAAACTGTTGAAAGTTCTGATTAAAATGAAACCATTTTGTTGAAATATGAAAACTGTATGTCTGTGGACTTACAACACTAGAAACTGGGTTTTGATACCCGTGGTGGGCAGAGCACAGATAGCCCATTGTGTAGCTTTGTGCTTAATTCTAAACAAACAAACAATCTTAACATGAAAATCATCTTGCACTCTGATTAGTCTTGAATCTGAGTAAGTTCACAAAAATCTTTAGAAATACTTTAAGTATTCTGATTCTTTTGTATTCAACATATTTGTAATGTTTACTAAAAGATTACCAAACTTTGTGAAGATAAACTAAGTAAATTTGGAATTATAACATACATTAATTTTGTTTTATCAAATATTGGTTACACAGAGAGTTGCGTAGTTTGGTTTTTAGTTTTTCCTATAGCTGTACAATGCATTTGTTTAACTTTTCTATCTTTTTAACCAAGTACTGGGGTCGAGGTTATTACCTATGTACATGCATATAAAATTGTCAGAATTTCTTTAAGTTTCAAACAAACAGCCTGTAGTAGGCCCATTTTCATATTCTTTGTCCACAATATCTTGCTTTTGTAGACTGTCAAGTACACATTATTAAATTACTTTGATTTATAAATAAGTGGCATAGTTAGGAGTTTATGAAATTGTTCACACTACCTGTCATCTAGTTGTATATATATGGGTTTGCTTTGCACAAGAAGACACGTGATTTTTCATATTTTAATCATTAATACACTATAATCATTAGTTATGGATTAATATTTAAAATGTTTTTTAACAAGATTTTCAGGATGCCTTTTCACTGTTTGACAATCGGGGAGATGGGAAAATCAGTATCTCTCAGCTAGGTGATGCATTACGTGCTATGGGTCAAAATCCCACTGAAGCCGATGTAAAGAAATGCTCTCGCCAGTTAAAACCTGGTAAGTTGAACTGAACTGATTATTCGTAGCTGTCCAGGGATTGGATATAATAAGTTTGGATGCATGTGGCCTTGTAAATTTATTATAGTTTGACATAAATTTCAAAATGTGATATGTTGCAACTGAGAACTACTGTTGACTAGGTATGGCTTGAAACACAGAATTATTTTGACTGTATATTCACTAAAAGTACAGCAACAGTTAGTTGCCTAGTTTTCATGATGTAACTGTTGTTTTGAAAGAATAGAAGTCATTAATGAGGAAAAACAATATGCATGTTTTGTGTGTACTTTTTAACTTTCTCGCTATGGGTAGGTTAAAATGTGCATGTCTCGACCTTTATGGAGTTACTTTCAAAGCTTAATTAAATTTCTTTAATATGAATGTATATGAATAAACGTGGCAACAAAAAATAGTGAATAAATCAAGTTTTAATATTTTAATTTATGAATTTTAAAGGGAAATTTTAAATAACTCCTCAATCTTCTCTTATATGAGAATCATGATTTTTGTACTTTAGGTCTCTAATTTATTTACCAACTGCCTCTGAAGTATGGGGTTTAACATAAATTACTGATTCTAATAAAGATATTACTAAGGCAACGTCTACATCATGATATCTTGCCTCCTCTTACATAGAGCTTTTTTCAATTAGTACTGCCCCCTACTGACACAAATTTTCAAAGCTCACCATTAGCCTTCCACCTCCCGCTTTTGTAAATGATCACGCAGCAGTTCTCCACCAATAGGAGCAAGATACAACTCCTATCGTAACCAGTACCCTCTTCACATTTGCATTTGTTAATCACTTCTGAATTGACAGTAGTATTGTATAGACGTGCTCATGAATTTGTCAACATTTTCCTTTGTACTACAGACTTAGTAAAGAAAAACTTTTTATTTAAATTTTGTTATTTTGGAATTGTGAAAGATTGCTTTTTCCAACTTTTCTTAATTTTTCAGGTTCATTTTTGTCTAGTTTATCGTGGATCCCACTCTGTGACAAGTCGTGTTTGACCAGGTATATTCCTTTTGTTTGTTTTTTAAAATCCACAGCGTCAATCCTGTGACCATGATTGATGTCAGTTATGTTGTAGCCCTTCCTACCACAGACCTGATGTATAATTTCAGATGCCTTTAGGTGTTGGTTGTGTCTTATGCCTACACAACTACATGCAGGTTTGGGTGGGGTGTTCCATAGGACTGCCAGTAGTTCTCTTTAGTGGGTTTTTGCTTCATAAATATGTTCATCCTGGACCTCATGTAAA